CCGTGCCCCAGTTTGAATTCTGTCAGTGTAGCCCATATTTTGGGTCTCTGCCTGTTGTCGTGCTTCGGCTTCCTGCAGAAAACGACAGAGCTGCTCCGACGAAATAATAATCTCTTTATCAAGGTCCTCGTATCTTTGAGTTAGTCCGTCAGGTGCAAAGTCGCCCAGTGTCAGCCGAAGTGCCGTTGCCGTCACTGGTGTCGGGACACATCATCAGTCCGGAAAGCCTACTCCCTATACCCTAGTACATAATCCAGCCAGCCCTCGCTCGAATTACTCGTCGCCTGATTGGTCGAGCTGCCCTGCCTTGGCCGTGCTCCCGTCCCCCTGAGGTGCGTGTCCGTAAGTAACATGCGAGCATTTTACTTCGAGGGTGCATCTACCTAGCGTATATCATAATTGTTTGCTTCTTTCCATGGCCCGTGTAGGAATAGCGGCAGCGCCCTTAGCACGACGCGTTTATCACCTGTTCTGTGATCGCGTTCGCGCCCTTTCGCTTCTTATGTTTCTCTGTTGTAGTGCAAGGCAGATTCACTGATTTACCTTCCTAACTCTGTGCACACGAGGCGCAGATAGTCAGTATCTCGAGATAGAACTCTTTATATACAACGCAACGTACTAAATCTCGATCTGCATCGACTGCTGTTATGCTATCACGCCCCGTTAACTCGACACTTATCTCTATAGCCATCACCGACGCTATCTAGGCGCTAGATCTGCGGAGCTTCGTTAGGCTGCACTAGCTAAGATGTTAAAAAGGCCCTAGTTAGAGCTAACACGGGAGCCGTCTAGATTCCCTCTACCCGACTCCGCACCTACATGAAAGAAACTAGACAAGTTCAACTTCCACTACGAAATAAAAAGCAAAATACTAACTATGAAGATATCTGTGATCTCATTTAGTGACCTCCTCAGCCTGGTATTAGCTCAGAATGCCGTCGTGCACAACCACTATACCGCCTCTGTGTATATGCAGTCGTTCCCTTACGATGGCAGTGCCGCTGAGCCCCTTACCGCCGTTCCAAAGGGGAAACTTTCTCTAAGAGATTTAGAGCATCTAGCTTAGTAGGTTAATTCTGCCTTTTTTTGATCTTCGCGTAACTAGATGTAACATAGTGCACTGCCTGAAAATGGAATATGCAGAATGTCAAGATTGCTAAGACCAAGACTCTAGATGACCCTCACTTTTTTAGCTATTCTTTCTTATCCAACCCGGACTACGCGTGTTATAAGTGCATCCAATCTATCATCTAGGTATTTTCTACTAACTACAACCCGGTTCAAGACAAATTGAGCATAGAATAGGGAAATCAGTTCGCAGAGAGTCCCAACTCGCTCAGTCCCGGGGACGGTTATGAAATGTTTGGCTGTGCAGCTAATGATGCCGCCTGCTATAGTACTCCGGCTCATAAGAAGGTCTTCAGGTGCCCACATCCAGTCAAGTCCCGCCCATTAGGACTTAACAATAGTCCCAATTCCCGTCCATAGTGGGACTTGGGAAGTCCTATGGGACTACTCCAATAGGAGTCGCCAAGGTCTATCATAGAGGATTCTGCCTCACTGGGGCTGAAAATTGATTATTTACTTAACCCCCTGTGGTTAATTCCCCTACTCCACTGCGAATGGAGAAAGGATATATTATTCTTAAACAGCCTCTTTCAATCTCAGTATATAGGGTATAAAGGCGAGGTGAGTTTTTCAAAACCTATATTGAAATCTGTCGCTGTGCAAAATTTGAAAAGGCGGTAGCTTTTCGCTTAAGGTATTTAAATCCGAGCGCCGCGGACATAGCGAAATCTTGTTAGTTGACAACGGTTTAGGTGAAAGCCGTGAGAACAAAGACGGAAGTAGGAGGTGGGCGCCTACAAGTAACAAAGAAGGAGCATAGGTATATAGGACAGCTACTTGAGCCGACGGGGCATAATTTAAGCAGGATTATGAAGACCAGACTAATGGACTATCGTTCCAACCATTAGAAGGGAATATGACTTAAAAATTAGCCAGTCGCATGTCGTATTGAGACCGACTCGCAGCAAGTGCTACAAGGTTCGGACGGAAATAGATCATTATTCGCAAGGATTCCATCTTTAATTCACTTAATTCCTAAAACTGTGTCCGACTCTGGTTGCCTTCATAATCACCAGGAACTGTTTCCAAGCAAATACCATAGCACATCTCATGAATCATATCTCGACCAAACCGAAACGATATAGCAGTACCAACTGTTACGCTCAGGTACGAGAGGAACAAGATCAACCAATATAGTAGCTTTTGACGAAAACAACTAAGTGTAGGGAAGGAAGAAGGAGAGATGGTGCGAGGGAACGAGAGAGAGATTAAATACATGAAGGATGCCTGCGGCAGCGGGCATCAACACCAGGCATCAAACATCACCATATGTGAATCGTCATACCAACATCTGGAAGCTGATAGCCTGAAAAAAGGCGTATTACAGTGATTCAGAGGCTATTTGATATGACTCTTGGCCCGTTTCAGATATGAGCGACTGAAGAAACATATAAAAAGATATGTCAGGGGAAGGCAATAGAGGGTTGTCAACCAAACTGCAAATGCCTCTCTGTTGTTCTTCACGCAGGGAGCTCTGCGCACTTGAAAATGTTGTCGAGTATTGTGAAGGTGAGCACTAGGCATTGTTGGTCCAGAGTTCGCGATGCCTTTGTGCCCAGTTAATGTTGATGAAATGTGTCCGCTGTAACCTCCAGGGTGATAGACTATCATATCATACTCAATGAAAAGATAGCTGCAGCTAATGATGCATCCAATAAAAAACTGTGTGATTTGCAATGTCGTCAAGCTTTGTTTGAGATATCCAGAGACTGGGAGACCAAGGGAAGTCCAAGCAAAGTATGAGTACTATAATGTGAGAATTAGCGCTCAACATTCAGAGATCAAATAATAAGAAAAGAACATATACCATTAGAGTATGAATGGCAGAATTGAGAAGAATTCCAACAATGGCAGGAGGTGATATGTAACGGACTGCAGCCCACATACAAAACATGACGCCGGTGTGATGATATGTTTGCAACATTGAGCTTTCCTTCCCCTTCGCGAGGATAATCAAGGTATCAACCACCTCGTAAAACTTCGATAGATAGAAAAGCCAGCTGAAGTAGGCGTATCCCTCATTCCAGAGGCGGCTTGCTTCGAGCACGACAGAAGCTTGATTTGCTGTCAGCGAGCGTTCTTGAAAACGAATACTGAGGAATAATATGAAAAGCAGGTACTCTTACTGTGAGGACCATCTTGGCTGGTAACCCGACAAAGAGAGTCGGCCACCTGAGCCAAAAGGTTTTGCTCTGTCGCCCAAGGCCAACAGGTTTTCAACGAATAACACAATCCGTAGAAGGTCCATGCAGAAAACAAGGCAAGGAAGACATTATGGAATAGCACAATGCCTTTGAAAGCCGAAGATTTCGCGAAGCTCCAAGGCCTGTTCTGTCGACTCTTATTCAAACGGTTAAGGAAAATGACAGAAACCACGTACACAGCCGCTATTGTGGCTGGAACCTTGACGTTGAGAAGGTCTTGAAAGATTGAAGCGGATATTGCGAATGGCTGGATCCATGTTGAGTCGGCCGGCGCTCTGGGTGGAACCGTATCTGGGGCGTCATTAAAAACCCAGCTGAAGAGCTCTCGAGGGGGCAATCGAGCATGGATGGAGAGGTTTTGGAAAGCCATTTTTAGACAAGGAGAGAAGAAGTCGGGTTGAGAAAAGATTTCCTTTTGCTCGAAAATGCCGTCGTGCTGGACACAACATGAGTTCTGGGTCATTCCATACACATCCCCGCTTTACGAGCATGTATTCTAAGTCAAACTTGGATAGAAATCGCTATGCATGTAGGATAAGATTTCACTAGCTTGGGTTATATCCGCTCTAATGCATAAATGCGGCAAACTGGAATCCGCAAGCGCGATCTACAATGTCTTGGCAACTCGATATTTCAATGTAAGGGGTCTCGCAGGGGATACGAATCCAACAGCAATAAGAACAAGGATAATGGTAGTTAGTTTCCTGCTCGTGACTGATTGCGATCCAGATCAGCCTTTCCTAAGGACCCTCAAAACCAGCTATTTTCTGGATATTGAGACATTTTGATCTTCTTATTCCTTCACTACCGGCCTACTACACACTCCTTTTAAATGGAGCCCTTGACTCACTCACGGGCAAACCACGAGAATGACAATAATGATGGCTTTATCGAGGCCACAGAGGTCAGGGGTGCAGCCGCGGTCTCACCCACACCGTCAAAACACGATGCTTTGATGCTACTGGCGCTCGCATGTCTGAGTTTGATGGCTGCGCTGGATTGAACGTCCATTTCGGTGGCCTTACCGGTATGCTCTACCCGGAACCGAAGAAAATTCGAATAATGGCTCATTCAAAAACAGGTTATGTCGGAAGAGCTGAATGCCTCTGCAATCGAAGCGTTCTGGACTGGAACATCCTTCCTGCTTTGCTCTGCGGGTACGTTGCAGATAGAAGGTAAATTAAAAATTCGAGCCCGCCTAACACGGAAATAGTGTTCCAGCCAGTGTTTTCTTCACTGTCTGATTTGTTTGGCCGTAAGCAATTAGTGCTTGTGGCGATGGCCTTCTTCCTGATTGGAGCAGTTGTGGCGGGCATTGCCAACGATATTTTCCACATGCTCATTGGCCGATCACGTCAAGGTGTCGGGGGGGGGGGGGGTGGGAATCATCACTCTGACAGGAATTGTTATCGCTGACATTGTTCCTCTTCGGCATCGGGGACAGTATTTTGGAATACTCGGTGCAATCTTGAGCTTGGGAACGGTGATAGGGCCGGTCGTCGGGGGTTGTGTCACGCAAAAAGCTTCCTGGGCACGTATCCCCAACCCTCCCCGTTTAGTTGAATATTAACAATTCCTCGTTAGTGTTGGATATTTTACATCAACTTTCCATTTATTGGCATTGGATTAGTATTAGTCGCATGGTCGTCGAGCTTTCGGACCGGCAAGATGTCTTTCTCTAGCCAATGGAGAAAGATCGACATCATTGGGGTTTTCCTCTTTACCGCCAGCACAGCATCCTTTCTAATCCCATTATCCTGGGGAGGTATTCTATACCCATGGGATTCATGGCATACATTGACCCCTTTGATAACTGGAACCGTTGGTTTATGCGCATTTGGAGTGTACGAGTACCGCATTGCTACGCACCCAATCATTCCACCAGCGATCTTTAACAACCGAACTGCTTTGATCTCATTCGCTGGATATATGGCTATTGGATTGATAATATGGTGTTGCCTTTACTTTCTCCCGCTCTACTACGAGGCCGTGAAGGGGTTTGGTCCTATCATGTCTGGAGTTGCTCTGTTCCCCGAAACTTTCACAGTCGCCCCAGCTGCAGTCGTTATGGGACTTCTCATCAGCCATACAGGCCAGTACTACTGGATTATATGCTTTGGATGGTTTCTGTCCACTATTAGCACGGGTCTCTTGTGTTTGCTGGGAGCTCATACTAAGACAATTGTGTGGATATTCTTGAACCTGGTACCCGGACTTAGCCTCGGAATGATCCTTCCTGCAGTCGCACTCGCGGTCCAGGCCTCAGCAACATCGGAAAATCTCGCAATTTCGGTGGCCATGTCAACTTTCTTCCGAGGCTTTGGACAGTCAATTGGAGTGGCGATTGGTGCAGTGATCTTCCAAAACCAAATGAAGAGCAACCTCCTCGCATATCCCCCCTTAGACACTTTGGCCGAAAAGTACAGTCGTGATGCAGCTAGTGTAGTACAGATAATCCAGCGAATGGAGGATGGGCAAGTGAGAAGAGATCTTCAGCAAGCATATGCCGACAGTCTCAAAATAGTGTGGTCGTTTTATTGCGGTGTCTCAGGGCTGATATTTTTGATGAGCATCTTCACCGAATCATACGACTTGAATCGGGTGTTGATGACCAAACGAGACTTTGGTGAAGAGAATGCGCTGAGAGAAGAGAGGATCATTGCGGAAAATTTCTAGCAGCTCACATGAGTATGCCGATTTGATGACACATCATGTTGGTACTTTATTTTTCCTGTATGCATTATGCTGTGCCTGCACGAGAAATTGACACTACACACACTCCTTCATCTCTTTCTGCATGAAGCTAGAATGCCCTGAAACGAACGAAGTGAGAGGAAGGGGATACGTGACTTGACTCGAACTTTTATTCGGTGAGTGCCATATCACGTGTGATATAATAACTAGTGTAACTTTCACCCTATTCCCAGTCAGCTACGCAGCTTAGCATCACTCCATCATATTATGCAAGGCTTGGGCTCCGGGTCCAGGATTTAGTAGACGGGGAGATAATGAATACTTTGTAGCCGCAGCTGACGTGCTGTCCTCTGACCCACTCATGAAGACGCGAATCTCTTTAAACTTCCCACCATAGAGAGCTTTATTATTTTAAAGCTCCTGTGGTGATTCATATAGATAATAACAGTAATTAATATGATCACTCAGCAAATTAGCCATCCCTATTTTATTTAGTTGTGCAGACATATTAGTCTTGGCGCGAGTAATGGGAATTCCTATGTTAATTATGGCCGGTTACGTAGGTCTTGGAACTTCCGTGGGAGATGGGAAATGGAGTTAGAGACTGAAAATCATTTAGTTCCATAGAAGTTACCGAGCCAAGCCACCCCAAAACTCATTGTAAATGCGATAAATTACTACTTCATATCTCAATAACCATAAGTTATTTTTACTTGACTATTGGATTATAGGCATTTATTAGCAATGTGAGATAATATAACTCAATTTAAGGCAATTTAGATGATTATTTTGATGATTTACCGTAAAATACGTCATAATCTAGACAACGGGGACATGCATATATGTGTATCTCTATTAATGCTTCCAGTGTTCTTCCTATATTTCACCAGTAGGTTAGAAATATTATCCAAATCGTGTACTTTTACCTGATTTGCCTGATTTGCCTGATTCGTCCGAAGATTTGCCTGGTTCGCCCGAAGATTTAGAAGGTGTAGCCAGTGTTGTTGGTTAAAGTGAGATTGGAGAAGAGGATTGCCCTTTTCGAAGAGATCTTTAATCACATGATTATATGGGATACTAATTGAGCGCGATTAGTAATTAGTGCAAGGGGGTAGTGCCTTCCCTACGCGGAGATATTGATCCTAGGCGATTTTGACCTTTCGAATTGCGTTATGAGAGATCTGGCTAAGGAGATCACGTAATAATAGGACTTGAAAGGAGACTAGGTGTCGATGGATTTGGGATTGGATTGAGTAGAAAGCCTACTAATTTGTATAGGAAACGACTCGAGAGACTCCCTGTATTACTATAAGAATATCGCCGGTTGAGCTCCGAAGTTCCTTCTTAATCTTTGTATAGGCTCCTTCCACGCGCGAGGAAGTAAGCTTATCGTAGTAGGGGATACTATTAAGATAATAGCGTATAAATCGCTTTACCCTCTCTCTAAACCACTGCTTATTAATATATTTAACTGCTGATTAGTAGATTAGATCGCTAAGATCTTCTAGGAAAGAGGCCTTCCTAGCTTCTATCTTATCTTCTATCCCTTCTAGGATAATCTATATAAATTTAGCCTTCGTATTTCGCTATAATTAGATAGTTTTCGTCTAAGCTTCCTAATTAGGAAGGCCCTGTAGGAGTAATTCCTTTAAAATCAACGGCCGAACTCGAGTCTTAATATTCTTTATGATATACTAGAGGCAAAGTAGGCCCTGACTATCCTTGAAGACTCGCCTATATATATTTAAAAGAGAGTCTACGTCGTCCGAAATAACGACACGAGGGGCTTGAATCTTTGCCTGTAAAAGCTATGTTTAAAGAGTCTAGAGTGTCTAAAAGTAGGACGCTTCTTACTTATCGCTTATAAAGTAAAGAGCAACGTAGAAGTTCTTTCTAGTAGAGACCTACCTAATAATATCGACTAATAGTATATTATACCTAATTAATTAATTAATTAGTTAACTAATCAATTAACTAATTAATCTCTCTCTTACCGATTCGTCTTGTATATAGTATCGATCTATAGGATATTTAGATAAATACGTAGAAACTTAAGGCCTTGTTTTAAGATAAAAAGGATTCTAATCGGCCGCCGCGATTCGTCTAATTCGTATTATATAATCTAATCTAGTAGGCTCTCTATCACGGCTTCGATTAAAGAGCGCCTATATAGGAAAATCTGTTTTGCCCGGTCGCGGAGGTTTTAGAGATCTTTTAAGCTAAGGAGACTTCCCTTAGACTTTAAAATCAGCTAAATTCCTATAGGTTTTAGGCCCTTTACGAAGTAATCAAGAAGTCGCTCCTCCTTCTTAGCTCTCTCTCTTTGCCTTAAGGTCATAAGAAGATTTTATGGTATAGACCTATGGTTATGTGTAGGATTAATAATCCTAATAATATAGTAGTTCGGTTGTACCTTCCTCCTATCCTTCCGAAGGCAGATTTGTATATAGAAAGGGTAATTCGTCCTAATCTTGCTAACCTCTCGCGATTTAGCCTTACTAGCTATAGAGGGACCCCTCTTAGTAGGGTCTGGCTAGAGAGAACAAGATAGGTTAACCTTCCTTTCCTCCGATCTCTTGATTACTAGGGTATAGCTATGTAAAGCGGCAAATTCCTGTAAATCATTATACGCAATCTCACGCGATTAGTAGATCTTACCCTTAGTAGGCGGCGGCGGTAGAGGATCGGCAGGTAGGTTAGTAGGTAGGTTGGTAGGTATGTTGGTAGATAGGTTAGTAGATTAGCCTAGTAGGATAGATTTTAAATTCGATTTGTGTGGGTCATATGATCTCTTGTGTATGAATAGCCTTAGGAAGGAGAGGATAGGTAGTCACGTGGTTATATAAGTATCCTAGCAGGAAGAAGATAGAAGGGAAGGGGGGATTCTATATGTAAATAAGAAGAGATACGTGGTTGAATTCGTATTAAACCGTTCTGACGGCCTTGGCAGGAATCAGGCAATAATACAGAAATCAGGCCGAAATCAGGCCGAAATCAGGCCTTAGGGTGTGCCGCCAGTTTTCCTAGGGGGTGTGAACAGCATTACCCCTACTTAATATTAGATATTTCGCTATTCTAAAGCGTACGTACGGTCGCTTCGTGAGCGATTTAACCTAAACGGGCTATAATTATATCGATAAGCTTGATTTTCTAGCAGATTATCCTCGCGTATAGCTAGAAGATTTCTAGCCGAATATCGTTCAAAGTAGCTTCGTAGCTACTAGTATCGTACTAGTTAATACCGAAAGGGTGCTTTCTAAGCTTAATATATCCCTTCGAACGCCTTTACTACTATCAAGCCGACCAAGTAGCAGATCTAGCTAATTCACACCGAAAACGCCTAGAACGGTAGCTCAGCTACAAAAGCAGGCTAAAATGATAAGGGATCTAATAGATCAGCGGTCAAAAAGCCCACTAAGCCCGTTAAAATTAGTGGTTGATCAGATTCTTAAGGGCCATGAAATTGCGCTATATAACACTGCACTACTAGTGAAGGAGAACGCCGATCTACGCGTAGCGAATAAAAAGAAACGTCAAAAGCGCACTCGATCGACTAGGTAGATTGCACACGAAGGGGGCCTATCAATCGAAGAGGGCCTATAGCTAGCTTAGCAGCTAATTCACCTAGTAGAAGCTGATAAGGTAGTATCGCATAAACAGGTCGATCTGCCTAATCAATCGATTCAACCGGCCAGGAGGGCTCCTCCTACCTGCAGCGGATGCGGAATAACTAGCCATAGAATTAATCAATATAAAAATCGCTAGTTTAGGATAAATTAATGCGTTTTGGTTATGATATCCCATTCTAAAATCTTGCAAAGGGGGTGGGTGGCCAGCTCGCTTGTGTGGCTAGCTCGCTTGTGAATTACGTTAGCAATCTAGGCCTAAGGCTCCATTTATACCGACAATATCGCTAGTCGTGTGAAGGTCACGCTAGGAGTAGAAGTTAGTATTTCGTCTTCGTCTAGGTAAAAAGGCCTATTAGATATAAGGAAGGAGAGTATATCCGTAGGGTTATCCTTAAAGACTGATAAGGGATAGTGACAACATTTGGAGGAAGTATAGTGGGGTCGAAGGACGGCAAGGTCACATGATATATCCAGTAGGCCAAAAATGCTCCTAGGGGCGATATTTCTAGCTTTCTTAGACATATATCGACCATGCAGTTCAGGTGTTGGATTCTTTTCTCATATAAGCGGATTGGTATGCCACACATGCTGACAGATAGTTATCGGAGAACTAGGATATTTAGCTTTATAATATATTAATAAGTAGTGTATAAGAGAAGGTAGGAAGTAAGGCTAGGGGGTAATAGGAAAGATATATAATTATCTTTTTATCTAGTAAACGAAATAATTAGGAGGATTACGATAAGGGAAAAGTGATAGGTAGATAATTTAAGATAGAACTAACTAGATTCTAGATAGTGATTAGCTAATAAGACCTACTCCGCTAGTGTCCTTACGGTCTAACTGCTAAGGGACCGCTAAGGACCTTAAGGACCGCTAAAAGACCGCTAAAAGACTACTAAAAGACCGTAGGGACCGCTAAAGGGCTACGGAAAGACTACTACCCCCGTAGTAGAGACTATATAATATTTCTAATAGCTATTAAGGCTTGTGAGCAAGCGATGCTGCGCAGGTAGAGAGGAAGGAAGAAGATTGAATAAGATAGATCGATCTTTCTTCCTTAGATTGAATAGGAAGGATAAGTTCAATTCGGCTTAGGATTATAAAGGTAAGAGAAAAGTGAGGTAGGACTAAAACTTGGTTGATTGTATTGAATCTTGTTATGTGTCTTCAACATTATTTTTATCTTGGTAGAGAAAACAGGGCATATTTATAATCAATCTTTTATACAAACTTATCAAACCTCTTTCGCATATGATCGTTCTAGATCTAGGATCTAGATGCATAATGATCTTATGCAGTAGCTGTTTAATCGGTGGTTGCTTGATTGTACGATGTCATTGATCGTAATGA